GGTTCATAAAATTTTAGAATATTAGGCGAATTGAGAGCCATTTGATAGACTGGTAACCAATTCAGAATGATTCACAAATTCTTCATTGGTGTAGACCGTTAGGAATCGTTGTTAGTTATTTAGTTAGTTAGTTAGTTAGTTAGTTAGTTAGTTAGTTAGTTAGTTAGTAGTTAGTTAGTTAGTTAGTTAGTTAGTTAGTTAGTTAGTTAGTTAGTTAGTTAGTTAGTTAGTTAGTTAGTTAGTTAGTTAGTTAGTAGTTAGTTAGTTAGTTAGTTAGTTAGTTAGTAGTTAGTTAGTTAGTTAGTTAGTTAGTTAGTTAGTTAGTTAGTTAGTTAGTTAGTTAGTTAGTTAGTTAGTTAGTTAGTTAGTTAGTAGTTAGTTAGTTAGTTAGTTAGTTAGTTAGTTAGTTAGTTAGTTAGTTAGTTAGTTAGTTAGTTAGTTAGTTAGTTAGTTAGTTAGTTAGTTAGTTCGTTAGTTAGTTAGTTAGTTAGTTAGTAGTTAGTTAGTTAGTTAGTTAGTTAGTATAGTTAGTTAGTTAGTTAGTTAGTTAGTTAGTTAGTTAGTTAGTTAGTAGTTAGTTAGTAGTTAGTTAGTTAGTTTAGTTAGTTAGTTAGTTAGTTAGTTAGTTGAAAGGCGGAAAAAGGCGGAAAGTCGACTTTGTAAAGAAGTGGAAAAGTCGTAAAAAGTCGGATAAAGTCGACAAAAGTCGAAAAAAGTCGAAAAAAATCGGAAAAATCGAAAATAGTAGAAAAGTCCAAAATAGTCAAAAATTTTAAAAAGACGAAAAGAAGTCAAATACTCTTAAATAGTCGAAAAAATCGAAAGATGTCGAAAATAGTCGAAAAGTCAGAAAAAGTCGAAAAATGTCGGAAAAAATCGGAAAAGTCGAAAAGTCGACTATTTATAAAATACTAAAAGTCGTAAAGTCTAAAATTCGACTTTTAATTAAATGAAAAAAGTCGAAAAATTGACATTTCATAAAATGCAAAAACACGAAAAGTCGACTTTTAACTAAATGCAGTCGAAAAGTCGACTTTTCGTTTCAACAATAGAACCCTAATGTACATATGTTATATCAATTCTAAAAAGTACACCTAGGCCATGTTGTGTGATCCTTTACCAGTGTCTTTAATGGAAATCGAACCCATGAACTCCGGTCTAACAGACTACAAAACTAACCACTAAACCACCGGAAGTACACTCGGAGACATACACAGTTCTCATTTGACTAATCTATATATAGATTTCTGAAAGAAACTTATTGAGCCCAAAGAAATTTTAAATTTTAACATTTAACATATTAAATAGTATAAACTACATTTCTGTATTACCATTTTAGTTAAAATGCAAGAAAAAAAAACCATTGTCATTGTCAATGTTTTATGATTTCCCCTCTTAACAAATCAAAACAAAAAAAAAAATCGAAAATAAAAATAGCAGCAACTACATGCTGCATGTTATTTTTTATTTTTTGTTGTATATACATTGCACTTCCTTGCTGCATTTCATCAACAACAATTTAACATTACCAAAGTTAACTTTAACTCTATTACATAAATATTGTGCCAACTTTACTTTGAACATTAACACATTAGAGGCACAACTATTTACGACTATAACAACAATAGAAATTATAAATGCAACAACAAATAAAATTATAAAAAAGACATGAAATGAAGAAGACATTATTACCAACTTACAACAGCAGCTAGTTGTAGCATAATAAAATACAGCACTAGCTACTACATACAAGACATACAACGTCAAATGTCTGCCAACAACAATTATTATAATTTTACAGTCGACGACAAAAAAATATATGTGTAAATAGATAGTGAACAATGAAAAAACATGTATAAGTTCATATTGATCCAATGAAGATATCTCTAGACCACTGATCTAATTAACCCTTGAAAAGTGAATTTGCAGAAATAAAACTGTAATAAAATTCGTTCTCTTTAAACAAATTATTGGTATAAACCAAACTTCTTATAATACATATGTATACATACAAGTCTTATCCATTCGAAACGTGGACTATCCATGAATGCAATCTAAGACAAGATGTTATAGATATAAACCAGACTTTCAAACATCGTAAAAAAACCAAGCACTTCTTGAAGTCTAATATAAAAGAATTCTAGTGCTGATTGGAATGCTAGTCGAAGGTCCATTTATTTTTGAAGACTTTGGAAAGTATGAAATATTCCTACTTCAACAAATTTAGACTCCCTCTTTAAACATTAATTTAAAAAAATATAGATGATAGATGATTTGTGCGCTTATTTTGAAATATAAGTAAAATGTAAATTTATTAAAAATATTGGCCTTTATTAGCAGAGGTCCTTTCCCATCTTATTGGAAATATATGAATCCGGGCCAAATCATACTTTGCTTTAAGTAAAGAGTATTCCAACAAAAGGGAGAGGGAAAACTGTTCAACCTAAAAACTGTACAACAAATCGATTGTGTTCGCTGAAGATCCACTTCAGTCGTCTGGATAAAATTTGACAGCTTATAATAAGTGAGACCCTTCTAGTCTATGAATATTCTCCCTTTCATTCGTTTATACGTTTGATTGGAGGGGCTTACGCTTAATGTTGTCGGAATGTCTACATTTTTCATTAACAGTAATGATTCGATGACGTTTTATCACGTATTCGTTCCAAATGTACACTTTGTAATGTCGAGACAAAACAGTCGTCGCTTTACTGTATCCTAAGTAAACGACAAAAGGGACAGTCGCCAATTTCTTGTCCCACAAGTATACAAGAGAGGTGTCATTTGAAACTTTTTTTTTGTATTTTGAACAAGGACTAATGCATTTAAAAATTACAGTAATTTCAACAAACGTCGAATCAACTGGTTGGCTATAATTCGTCTTTCGTCCCGAATGTACATTTTGTAAACGACAATGACGACAGTCGTTACCTTAGTCTCATTCCTCATTTTACTGTTCCCAAAGTAATCTAAAGATTAGACACTTATATTTATTGCCATGTATTGACTCCTTTGGACTAGCTGTCTGACTGTCTATTTGAAATCTATGAAGTGAAGATTGATTTCCTCCTAGGACAAGCTCATGTTAAAGTAGCTAGTCACCTAGATAGCCGAATGGCTAAGGGTAACCGTAAGTGATAGGTTAAATAGCTAGTTTGGGACTGTCCATCATAATAAATCCAATACAGAGTTAATTGTGTATTTGTAATCGAAGTAATGTGTGGTTTCCGTATCCAAAGTGTCAAATGACATCCCCCAAGGCCCCTCTTAAAACAACTAGTTACCTAAGTTGTGGCTAGTGGTAGGTTAAATAACTAGTTCCGGACTGTCACGCCGTACTGCAGAGTAATAGGAGCTAGATGAAATAATGAACCAATTTCAACCATTTTCATGAAAATAATTCTATTTATGCTGTGTATGAGATTATTTTCTTAATTGTCACATAAATTAGAACAAACTTATAATATACTCTCTACTACATATTAAGCTGTAGGGTATTACAACTTTAAACAAAAAAATAAACTAAATTTAAATTTAGCCTTAAATTTATTAGCAAATAAATTGTTAAAGGTCATTCCCAACTGTGTTGTTAAAATACACAAACAAATTCCTACTGCAGGAGATATTTTTATCACCGACTGTATAGCCGTGTGCGAGTAAATACAATAACTTTTCATGTACATATGTGCATTAAATAACTAACATCTATGAATGTATGTACGAATATGAACAAAACAAACAAAACTTACTAACTGACTATCTGTCCATCCGTCTGTCACTAGTACTTGGCGACAATAGTTGTTGATGATGATATTATTTGAACGTGACTAACATGTAAAATTTTGTACTTAAAACAAACACACGCATACACGCTACACTCTGCATAAAGCGTGCGTGTGTTATTCTATGACCAATGAAGAGTATGCAAAATGTATGAATTAAATACATTTTTTTTTTTTTTTCGATTGCAGTTGAAATGGACAGCAGATTTTACAACTGGTTAATTTGTATGCAAAATAAGCGCATATAAATTGATATAAAATAAAAATGATGTTTATTACACTTTGACACTTTACAACGTTTTTAGACAATCGATGACAAAGAAAAAGCCAGAGTGTTTTTTTAAATTATCTAGTTTTAAAACTTTTAATTAGACAATTTTTCAAACATTTTGTGACAAATCTCGGTACTAATCCAAGTGTATAACTTCCCATTTTGAAATTCCACAGGAACATCATTTTTTTCCAGAAAAGTAAAGGGCTTTTAATCCACAATTTTGGCGAAAAAACAAACATTTGTCATGACCTTCGTTTCAAAAATAAAAAGTTCAAGAAAATATTTAACTCATAAAGCTAAAAGAAAAGAAATTTAAATAAATATGGAGCAAATTAATTTAAATATTTTTTCTTTCACGTGAACTAAATATGTTGTTCAGTATTCAACAAACATCAATAAATTACAAAATTTGCATTTAAACAAAGATCTTCAATAATAAAACAATAAATTTACATTAAAAAGATAAAAATAACTAAAGTTTTTTTTTTGTCACCAACTGTATATAATCCAAGCTTAAGCATTGTTAACTTTGCAACAAACACTATTACCATTATATTTATGAACAATATAATATAAAAAATTGCCAACAAAAGTTCAAACTTATACGCTTTTTATTGAATAGATAGAAGAAGAAGCAGCAGCAGCAGAAATTACAATAATAATTAAATATTTCTTTTTTTTGAAATTTTACACATTTCCACTTGTTGGTTGATTTGAAATTGAAAGTAGTAGAGAAGTAGTTGTGATTGGTAAATGGCACGCAAAAGTTGACGACTTTAAGAGGTGCCTTTAAAGTTTCTATTAAAAATTTGTGAACAAATAAAATTCTAAACTAATATGAAGAAGAATAAGGTTAACAAAAAAGAACGCAAAAATTAAAAATTTTAAATTTCGAATTTCTAAAATATTAACCAATATTTTTATGTGCTTTATGATTTTTACAGACTCTTAATACAGCTGTGGTACAAATATATAAAACTGAAGCTTCAGCTCATTCACATTGGAAGAAAAAATACACTGGTGTCGTTTGTTTCGTTAAGGACAGTGCTATACGTTCCTATTTTCTACGTGCTTATTGTCTAATTAAACATGAATTAATTTGGGAGCACGAGCTGTATGATGAAATGAAAATTAATAAAGCTCGTCCATTTCTAATAACATTTGAGGGACAGGTGGGTAGTATTTCTGTTATTATATGGAAACATTTCTTATTTAAAGTTGAACATTTATTTGCAGGATGGTCATGTGGGTTTAAATTTTGTTTCCGAAGAGGAATGTGATTCGTTTTATCGTGCTGTAGATACAACAATTGAGACTAGAAATCGTAAAAAATTAGGTAAGTAAACTTTATGGTCTTAGTGTATAATTAGACTAAATATTCTAGTCTATAGTCTAGTCTATAGTATAGTCTAGAATAGTCTAGTCTATAGTCTAGTCTATAGAATAGTCTAGTCCATAGTCTAGTCTATAGTCTAGTCTATAGTCTAGTCTATAGTCTAGTCTATAGTCTAGTCTATAGTCTAGTCTATAGTCTAGTCTATAGTCTAGTCTATAGTCTAGTCTATAGTCTAGTCTATAGTCTAGTCTATAGTCTAGTCTATAGTCTAGTCTATAGTCTAGTCTATAGTCTAGTCTATAGTCTAGTCTATAGTCTAGTCTATAGTCTAGTCTATAGTCTAGTCTATAGTCTAGTCTATAGTCTAGTCTATAGTCTAGTCTATAGTCTAGTCTATAGTCTAGTCTATAGTCTAGTCTATAGAATAGTCTAGTCCATAGTCTAGTCTATAGTCTAGTCTATAGTCTAGTCTATAGTCTAGTCTATAGTCTAGTAGTCTAGTCTATAGTCTAGTCTATAGTCTAGTCTATAGTCTAGTCTATAGTCTAGTCTATAGTCTAGTCTATAGTCTAGTCTATAGTCTAGTCTATAGTCTAGTCTATAGTCTAGTCTATAGTCTAGTCTATAGTCTAGTCTATAGTCTAGTCTATAGTCTAGTCTATAGTCTAGTCTATAGTCTAGTCTATAGTCTAGTCTATAGTCTAGTCTATAGTCTAGTCTATAGTCTAGTCTATAGTCTAGTCTATAGTCTAGTCTATAGTCTAGTCTATAGTCTAGTCTATAGTCTAGTCTATAGTCTAGTCTATAGTCTAGTCTATAGTCTAGTCTATAGTCTAGTCTATAGTCTAGTCTATAGTCTAGTCTAGTCTATAGTCTAGTCTATAGTCTAGTCTATAGTCTAGTCTATAGTCTAGTCTATAGTCTAGTCTATAGTCTAGTCTATAGTCTAGTCTATAGTCTAGTCTATAGTCTAGTCTATAGTCTAGTCTATAGTCTAGTCTATAGTCTATAGTCTAGTCTATAGTCTAGCCTATAGTCTTGTCTATAGTCTAGTCTATAGTCTAGCCTATAGTCTTGTCTATAGTCTAGTCTATAGCCTAGGCTATAGTCTAGTCTATAGTCTAGTCTATAGCCTAGCCTATAGTCTAGTCTATAGTCTAGTCTATAGTCTAGTCTATAGTCTAGTCCAACGGTTCCCAAAAGGGGGTCCGCGGACCCCTAGTGGTCCGTAGCAAAATCCTAGGGGGTCCGCGAAGACGAACGAAAAAAATCATGAATAAAAAATATTATCTATATGTTAGAAAATATTAAAAATATCTCCAAATTTGTCATAAATACTAAAATACACAATTTTTATTCAATAATCCCAGATTTGTTGGTGACTCTTTGAATTTTATTGTTTCGGTCGTTTATCAGGATGTAGCTAGGCCTTACAAATTTATTGTTTCACTTTTATAAAGTAAAGTATTACGTGATTTGTAATTTTTATAAATGTATATGTATCGAAATAAATGTTTTTATAGCAGACGGATAATGATTTGCCTTAGAATTAAATACTGATACTGGTATCCCAGGTTAGGTCACATTTCATAATATTTTTTTAAATTGTAAGCAAAAGTGTTAATCTAGTTAATTTTAAATATAAATATTCCATTCCGACGTGATACACAGATTTTAACTTCATTTTGTTGTCCAATATTATTAAATCAACATCAGAAAATTCATAGCGTTCTGCGTTAACAGTCAAAACCACGCAGTAAAATAATTCGTAGGTATTTTAAAATTCAAAATTAAGATCGAAATTCACAGTACATTCGCAAAGAGTTCAGGTCATATTTTATGTGGGTAACGCATTCCGCAACAACATCGAAGAAGTCTAACTTTCACATATTTTCTCGAAAACTTAGCTTACATACTCAGCTCACTCCTATGCAATCGCAAAAAAATTTAGAAACATGACTCTTTAAGCACATGTCGACAATACTTGATAAAGAAACCTTTTCTATACCTTGACGAGAAATGAACATGAAAGCTCTCACGATCATAAAATTAAACATCATGTTAGAAGTCATTCTATATTTAAAACCATGCAATTGAAAACATCTCCGATCTCAATGTACGGGAATATTTTATAGGGTTTATGGACCAGGACTAAGACAATTTTCGGACGAACAATTACACAGTGATACAGCAAAAAAATGCAGGGGTTCTCATATACCAATTCCATTTCGTTATAGTCCATTGAGTAGGAATATATTTTTAATTTTTCCCGATCACTTCGTTTAGTTCCTTTTTAAGAGCAAAAGATGTGAAAAAGAGCTATTTTTGAAGTTTTAACTTTAAAAAAATATATTTATGGTAGTTTGCAACCGATTTTCAAATTGGATATTTTGTTTTAAAGATACAAGTGTTGTCTTTCAACCCAAAAAAATAAATCCAAAATTTATGATTAATGTCTTGGTTACGGCCATTTAAGTAAAAAAACTCACATTTTTTCACAATTTTTAATTTTCATACTGCTCTACGTTGGCCATGAAGCAGTAACTTTAGCTTTTATTACATTTGAAAAAAGGCACATTAAGTTGGGTTTCCAATGATGGTCAATTTATGATAATCGATGAAAAAGGTTATGAGTTGTGCTAAGTTTTATAAAAATATAGCATATTTCTTCCATACAAAAACGTTCATGTTTCTGGTTTTCTTTGTAACAAGTTTAAAAAATGTTTATAAACATTTTTATACAAAAATTAATTTGTATGGAGAAAACCAAAAATTCGAGGAACATGCTATTAGAAAAATTGGCATAAATCATCCAGTTTTTCATAGATTTTTATGAAATAACAAGTTTTAGAAACCTTGCTTTATGTGATTCTTCAGGAAAGTAATAAAAGATGAACTCACTGCCTCATGGTCAAAGTAGAGCATGATGAAAATGAAATTTTTTTAAAAAAGTGTGAGTTTCTTTACTTAAACGACCGTAACTCAGACATTTGACCATAAATTTTGGATTTCTTTTTTTGGATTAAAAGGCAACACTTGTATCATTAAAAAAAATATCGGATATGAAAATCGGATGAAAACTACTACTAAACTTATGATTTTTCAAATTTAAAACTTCAAAAATGGCTCTTTTTCGCATCTTTTGCTCTTAAAAAGTAAGTTAACGAAGTGATAGGGGAAAACTAAAAATATATTCGTACTCTATGGACTATAACGAAATAGAATTGGTATATGAGAACGCCTGCATTTTATTTTTCTTCACTTTTGTATCACAGTGTTATTTATAACAATAAGATATCAAAATATGTATGGGGGTCCGTGAAATTAAATAAATTCCTCAAGGGGTCCGCGAAGTAAAAAACGGTGGGAACCGCTGGTCTAGTCTATAGTCTAGTCTATAGTCTAGTCTATAGTCTAGTCTATAGTCTAGTCTATAGTCTAGTCTATAGTCTAGTCTATAGTCTAGTCTATAGTCTAGTCTATAGTCTAGTCTATAGTCTAGTCTATAGTCTAGTCTATAGTCTAGTCTATAGTCTAGTCTATAGTCTAGTCTATAGTCTAGTTTACAGTTTAGTCTATTGTCTTGTCTATAGCCTAGTCTATATTCTAGCCTATAGTCTTGTCTATAGTCTAGCCTATAGTCTTGTCTATAGTTTAGTCTATAGTCTAGTCTATAGTCTAGTCTATAGTCTAGTCTATAGTCTAGTTTATAGTTTAGTCTATAGTCTAGACTATAGTCCAGTCTATAGTCCAGTCTACAGGCTAATCTACAGACAAATCTGTGATTTAGTCTCTCATATTCTATATAACTAAACTAAATTTCAAAATTTTGTTCTTTGCAGAAAAACGCAATAAACGCAAATCCCAAATGGCACCCTCAGCACCACTCGCGCCGCTGCCCAAAGAGCCCGACTACAACAGTGTACAGCTGCGTAATAATTCAAAAATTGGTACTGTCAATTTTACGCCCGCCGCGCCCATGCCACAACCGCAGCAAGCACCACCAAAAAAATTCCTCTCGTCATTATCGTCTTCCAATAATAAAAATAAAAAATCAAAAGTCAATAAATGTGATATTGGAGCACCGACCAACTTTCGTCATGTCAGTCATGTGGGTTGGGACGCTGATAAGGGTTTCGATTTGACGGGCAATGAAAACGATGAAGTACTCTCGCAATTCTTTCAAAAGGCTGGTGTATCGAAACATCAACTAAATGATCGAGATACGAGGGCATTTATATATGATTTCATACAAAGCAATAATGTGCTGGGCACGGTGAAACAGGAAAGTGTTGAACAGCCGCTAAAGACAACATCACCACCACCGCCACGTGTGACACCTCAAGTACCGACCAGACATCAACATCATCATGTAAGTTTGTGCGGTGTGAAAATTAATTAAAATTGTAAATTTTAATTGGAATTCTTTTAAATTTAGGCTCAAAATGGCAATTCAACCAGTAATACTACAATAACAACCCAAAGATCAGCACCACCACCGCCTCCACCAGCTAGACAGCCACCACCACCAGTACCTACAACTGTGCCTGGTTTATCGAGGGCACCAGCGCCTCCCACAAGGCCACCACCCATAAATACAGCACCACCACCTCCACCAGCTCCCATTATGACAGCACCGGTAGGTTTTAAATAATTTTCCCTTTTAATTATGTCGTTTATTTTTATAATTTTTATTGGAATTTACAGCCACCACCTCCTCCACCACCAGCAGCCGGTATACCGCCACCGCCTCCTCCTCCACCTCCCATGGCTGGACCTGGTGATATACCCTCAATTACCACGACATATGCTGCAACAGAAACTAAAGCACCCTCTAGCTTACCACCGGTTCCTGATTCACGTAATGAATTCTTGGAGAGTATACGTAAGGGAGTGCAACTTAAGGTAAATTTTAGCTAATATTTAACAGACAAGTTACTAAATTTACAGAATATCACTTTATACAATTTCTTAATCCTTTTATTTTTCTTCCTGTTTAGAAAGTCGACACCTCAGCTCTTAGTACGGGCAGCGGTGATTCTCGCAGTGAACTCATGTCCGAAATACGTATGGGCATTGAATTGCGACCAGCCAATCAACGTGAATTATCCACAAATCGTGCTAGTGATGAAATATCCGGTACAGATGCTTTAGCTGATGCTTTACGCAGAGCCCTGCAAGATCGTGTACGCGTCTTGCAATCATCAGACGATGAATCAGAATCATCGGGCAACGATGACGAATGGGAAGATTAAATTTAGCCGGCAATATACGACGAGTATGTATATGTATATCTAGTATGTATGAATGTATGTTGTAACTAAATGTATGTTTGAACGAATGATAGAATGAATGATGACTGTATGTATAAATGGTGGATTTATTTTATATAAATTGTATACCAATGATAACAAAACTACTACGGCTTTAATGATACGTTGTATGTGGACACGGGTACTACTATTGAACATTTCATGTCATGTCATTTTAATATGTTGAACTTTTACAAGCAAGTTTTGTATTAGTAAAACAAACATTAGTTTTATTTCTAATTTAAATGTAATAATTTATATAATGCATTTGATTTAAAGATCTTTAGTTAAAAAAAAGAAATTTATTTCATACAACAGTTTATTCTATTCTATTTTATTTTATTTAATAAGGCCTAAAGCAATCTTAGCTAATGTAAAATTTTTATATTACTTTAATATGTTTTGCCTTGAAAGAAAATCTAAAGCGTAAAAATTATTTATACAATCGTAAAAATACCAAAAACAATATTTAAAATAAATTTATTGGAAAATATGTGGCAATTAATTGCAAATTTTTAATATTTTATTTGTTTTTGTTTAGTTAAAACAAGATTTTCTTTTATATTTTTTTAAAAACTTTCTAGTCTTTTTTTTTTGAAGAAAATAACTTTCTTTTTTTACCTTTTTTGGTTTTATTAACTTGACAAAAGTATACTTTCTTTTAAATTCAAGCATATCCAGCTCAATTGAAATAAAATTCTTTAAACAATTTGAAAATAACAAAAGAAAAAATATCAATAAAATTGCCCAGCAATCGTTAAAACATAAAAGTAATATTTAATTAAACATATATTTCAATAAAAAACTAAGTTCTTTTATTATAAAAAATATAAATAAACAAGAAATAAACTTTGTTTAATAACTTTAATTATAAAAAAAGAAGAAAATTAATTAGTAACAATTGTGCCAAATCAAAAAGTAATAAAAATATATACATATATACCTACCTACATATAGATAATTTATGAAATATTTACTAAACGACGAAACATCACATAAACTATTTAAATGCAATAACTCAACAAAAAAAACTTAGGAACATAAATTTTCACTATATACTCTTATACAAAAAAAGAATATTAAGGAAAAACAAAAGCTGTAGCATTTAAAGATATTAAATACACAAAATTTGAAATGTTTAATCTATAGTCCGGTCTATAATTCGATCAATAGTCGGAGATCTATAAGTCTAGTATAAAGACTAATCTAAAGTTTAATCTATAGTCTGATGTATAATGCATTCTTTAGTCAGGTCTAAAATCTATTACATTTCAAACATATAGTCTATGCTCTAGTTTCAAGTATGGATTAAAGCCTGTTCTATAGTCTAAGGTATAGTCGGGTCTGTTGTATGGTCTATGGTATGTTCTAAAGGCTAACCTATAGTCTGATACAAAAAATAGCCTACAGCCTGATTTATAGTCTATTGTAGGGTCTATAGTTTAAACAAAAGACTAAATTATAATTTAATTTCTTAAAAGAACTGTAGTTTATAATCTGGTCTACAGCCTGGTTTGTAATCTAGGGTTTAGTGGGCTCGATAGTCGAGTCTAAAGGATAATAGTCTGATACATAATATGGTCTTTAGACCCCAACTAAGCTGTAGAACATATTAATATAGAGTATTGTTTGTTTATCACCTGGTCCATATTCGGATCTATAGTTCAAACTAAGGGCTAAGTAATAATTTGATATATAGTCTGGAACTCTGAACTCTGGTATATAGTCTGGACAATAGTTTGGTCTATAGTCTAGTCTATAGATTGGTTTTAGTCCATTCTATAATCTAATCAATAGTCTGGTGTAGGCAATAACCAGCCCTATATTTATGTCAATAGACTAATCCTTAGTTCATTATCTACAGCCTGGTTAATAGTCTAGGGTATAGGCTTTTCTATATTCGACTCTATTATCTAGTCTAAAGGCTAATCTATAATTCAATATATAGTCTGATACATAATATATTATATAACCTGATTTAAGGGCTAATATATAGTCTGTTTTTATCCGATCTATAGTCTAGTTCTGGATTACAGCTTGGTCTATAGTCTGCTCTATATATTGGTCTTTCTTCCACTCTATAATCTAATCAATAGCCTGGTCTAAACAATACCTAAGCCTATAGTATAGACTCTACTGTGGCCTGTTATTTTATAGTATGGGGGGTTATTCTGTAACTTAATTCGAAAGTTTTGATGTTAAATACATTGTATTTCGAAAGCTTTTTTCTTTCGACTCGAAATGCGGATTTACATCCCTGATCTATAGTCCGGTCTATAACAGCTCTATTGTCTAGTTTGTAGACTATTCTATAGTTTAGTCTACTGTCGGATTTATAGCAGCTCCCTGCGCAAATCTTATTTTGTGTATTGAATAACTTTACTAAATGAAAACTTTCAATAGTTAAAAACACGATTTTATGAAAATGTGCCTATTTAACATTTTCGGGTCAAATCAGTTAAAAAAACAGTAGAAACTAAATAAAATCTAATTAGAAAACTTGAAACTAATACACAAACATACTTTGGTAAATATATTGTTGTTTTGAAAAATCAATACAGAAAAAATGGACTTAATATTTTGAATATTTAAAAAATCTTATATGTAATAAAATATTTAAAGAAAAAAGAGTAAATAGAAAAAACTAAGCAAGCTATACGAAACTTTAACATAAAATAAAATCACACTTAAACTTAAATAATTTACCCTTTTTAAAATGAGTCTTTAATTTTAATTCAATAACTTATAGTTTATAGTAATTGTTAATTTATAACCAAAAAAAGAAGAAAATTAAAATTAAAAAAAAACCAACAACATAAAACTAATATTTTAAAACTTTTGCTTCCTAATTCCTTGAACATTAAAATATTATAATAATTATAAAAAGTCTAATAATAATTTTCTTTTCACCACAAAAATATTTTGAGTGAAATGCATTTAATGCAAAAATAACCTTAGTTTAAAAAAAAAAATTAAAAACATTTTATTGATTCTAACTAAATTGTAATAATTAAATTATATAACCGTCTATACACTCTATTTATAAATAGTTTTTAATTTGAATGTGCTCAGTAAATCATGTATTTAGTTTTAAAATATTTAAATTTTTTTTGTTTAAAGAAAATGTAATACTTTGTTGATATGGTGTAAAACATTGTAATTATGTTTATTATTATTTAATGTCATCATCTGTACTTTTAATAGTTGTATTATAATCTATTATTTAAAGAAAATCCCTTTTTAAATTAAAACAAAAGAACTAATAATTATAACAAGTTATACTCTATATAAAAAAGAGTATAAAATTAATAAAAAAAAAATATTAACTTAATTTTGAAATCTAGGTGTATTATAGTAACTTATGAAAACAAATATATATACATTAAAATATAAATAATAAACAAAATAAACCAAAAAAAAATTATGTGCAGGGTGTTTTATTTGAATTTTAGAATGCAAAGCGTTATTTCCTCAGCTTATCAGGAGTAATATATGAGCTTTATTGTGTTTTTGGAACCTTTCTATAGTATAATCTATAGCGCAGTCTACATAGTTTAGTTTATATTGAAGTTAGCACAGTCTATATAGCCTAGTTATCTATATTCTGTCATCGAGTCTATAAACTATTTTATAGTCCAGTCTATAATCGAGTTTATAATCAAGTTTACAGTTTAGTATGTAATCTAGTTCATAGTCTAGTCTATGACTATAGGTTCAATTATAGACTGGACTAGCTTACGATTAACATATTTTAAAGTCTAATATAGTGTATTGACTAGTCAAGTTTATAGTCTATAATCTATTATATAGTCCAGTCTATACTAGAGTCTAATCTACAGCTTATAGTCCAGTATATACTAGAGTCAAAGCTATAGCCTACAGTCCAATCTATACTAGAGTATAATCTATAGCCTAGATTATATTCAACTTTATAGTCTAGTCATGTTTCTATAGTTTACTTTATAGCTTATATTTTAGTCCATACTTTAGTTTATGGTCTAATCTATAGTTAAGTCTTTGTTCATAGTTATCTATAGTTTAGTTTAATATTAAAAAAAATGCATTTAAATAAGATATTTGAAACAATTACCTGTGATCGTTGAATTCGTTTTCAATTATGATCCATTAAAAACTCTCCGCATATTGATAAATATATTAATTTTACACAAAACTTATTTGATTTATTTAAAAAACAGGCCATTTAATCATATTTTATAAAAAATGAATATTTTAATTTAATTTATTTCCAAATAAACCTAGCCTATTAATTAGCCTAAATAATTATTTTTCACAAAAAACACTTTACCACACATTACTAATTACATCATTTTATATTTTTTTAATAAATTTATATATTTTTTTTAATTTTATTCTTTATAGAAATTTGCAAAAACATAATTTTGCATTTTTAATTTATAAAAAACAGGCCATATTTTTATCATATTAAGAAATATGAATATTTAAGATTTTACATTTTAATTTTATATTTTTTTTACCTAAATGCACCTTAATTAAAAAAACACTTTCGATTGAAAGATTTTCATAAAAAAACACTGCACTACACTTTTTTACGTTTATATTTTCCGACGAAACAAATTTTTATTTTTTAATTTAACGAAAACACCGAAACGAACCCGACAGCAGTAAAAAAGAACGCGAGGCTGGCTAATCAAATGGACAGGCAAGACAGTCACAACAAGCAAAAAACTATTTCTTTTACTTGGCTTAAGAAATAAACCAAAATTATTATTTTATAACAATTTTCACACAATAAACAAATATACTATAGAATAAAACATTCAAATAAACACTTGAAGAAATAATAGAAATATTAAAATAAACCTGTTGCTACTCTCAGGCAGACATTGAATTTAAGGAATTTTTAATTTCCTTACAAAAACAACAAATTACATGTTACTTTTATTCTCACAGTTGTCTGTTGCCTTTCTAAATACTTGTTAGCATCTTTTAATGATTTATATTTTAATTAACATTTTAATTTCAACTTTTTCACAAAATTTTAACACCGAAAAAAGTTTTTTACGCGCACTTTGTAAAATTGTTTCTTCTTCTTTTTACTAACTAGAATACGAGTGAAGTAGGATAAACATATAAAGGAAAATGTCAATATTAAACGGATGTTAAAGGTTGCCAGATTTTAATTATGCATATGTTTGTGTAAAAGGGAATATTAAGAGAAAATTGTAATTTAAATAAGGGGGACAAAAGGCGTTAGATTTAAACTGCAGACAAATATGTATATTAATTAATGAATAGCAGGGTTGTCCGTTGACCGTTTCATAACAGTAAAAATGTAATGGTATTTAGATAAATTTCGGTAAAGGTATGTTAACAGTATCGGTATTTTGTAGAGTTAT